ATCATAAAATATAATTCTATAACTTCTTTCTGTATTTCAGCAAGATGCATTTTCTCATCTCCAACATTTGTACAGAATTCACTTCCACAGCAAGTGTTGCAGACTGGCTCTTCACAAAATGGTGATCTCCAGAACGGAAAGAGTTGCATAAGCTGATGGCTCGGTAAGAAATCTTCTCCCACAATAACAGAAATAAATGAAAATTCACATCCAAACTCATTTCAAAAAATGTTGTGAAATAAAAAATTAGGAATTTTAAAAAGATTTGCAACTTTTTTGGGGACAACTCTCAAAAAAATGCTTAAACTTTTTAAAATTCTATCAAGACTATGATAGTTGAAAAGGACCAATATTCAATGATTTTTCATGGAAGATTTGTCCTCACTTTTCTTTCCCATGACACTTGTGGTGTATGCGGAAATATGTTTATACATGTATGTTGTATTTTTAGTGATTTATGTTTGGTGTGTGAGTGTACTATGCGAGAATGCCACCAAGTATGCACAAAAGAGTGTTTTATGAGGTTATTGCGCGAGAACTGCGAAATGTACACAAAACAGTGTATTATATCGTGTTGCAAATATCACAACTCATACATGAAGATGGTAGTAGAATATTGCTTGTGAGATGTCTTGCTTGGTTGTTCATAACACCATGCACCGTCAGTTAACTTTTTTGTTTGCATTAATTAAAGCCTAAATTAGAATCCAAGTTTTTAGGGAATGAAAATTGCCTAGGCTGTATCCTTTCATGATACCAAATTGATTGCCCTGGTTTAACAGTGCCTGACCCATTCTTTTACTGATTATATACAGCAATGTGAGACTTCCCCAATTGATAAATTTGAGATATTAAAACCAAGGTTCAATCAGCACATGTCTGTCTTCTTGTACCAAATGTTGCGTTCTACTATTTGTGACATAAACACTGTCAGAGTTTGCATTTATTGATATGCAAATTTATTTTTGTATCCCAACTTTGTGTTTTTGAGAGAAATTGTGTGTTTTCCGTGAATAAACATTGTAAATTCTTAAGTTAATGAACCCATATACACTGACAGTTCTTACTTATATGTGGACATTATTTATGACGTTTACAAAATGACGTCAGACGAGGATGTGTTGAAATTGTTTACAGTATGACTTGTACATGTCTTCGCATGGCTGAAGACGATTTGCAGAAAATTCACCATGGTAACACCATTTACTCTTTGTCTTCTGTAATCATCATTAAAATAAAATACTTAGGAACTGTTAAGTTGCCTAGGAATGGCATAGTTTCTACTAATTACATTTTTCTTTTGCCTGTATAAGAATAAAGAAAAAGAAATATTGAAAATGTCTGTCTTATTGTAGTTGGTGTTTTTGTTTTTCATCATCGCTAAGTTGTTTCTTGTGGTTACAGAAACAGGAACTCAAAACGTTTTTTATCTGACCATATTAGACTACTTAAACCCTGATGTTAAAATACTAAGATCCAGATGTTAGACTACTTAAACCCAGATATTAAACTATTAAGACCCAGATGCCAGACTACTAAGACCCAGATGTTAGAATACTAAGACCCAGATGTTAGAATACTAAGACCCAGATGCCAGACTACTAAGACCCAGATGCCAGACTACTAAGACCCAGATGCCAGACTACTAAGACCCAGATGCCAGACTACTAAGACCCAGATGCTAGACTACTAAGACCCAGATGCTAGACTACTAAGACCCAGATGC